GTCATCCTAAAAAGTTTCCGCCTTTCATTAAAGCATAAACATATTCTCAAGGTTTTTTATTGTTTCCAGTTCTCATATTTGAATAGGAAAACCCCTAGACAAACTATCCTGCATGAAGATGTCAGCCCTGATCATATTTTTGTAACTAGAAACGCAACGGCTGTTTGTCTGTTGCGCATTCTACCGTGCTAGGAAATTGCAAATTAATCCATTTTGATTATATATGATCGGTCGCCTGACCTCTTACAGGAATTATTTATACCTCTTTATATTGGGCTCTAATGTATCGGGTAAAATAAAAAAATTCTGAAGTGCCAGTACGGAAATGACGCTATAATATTTTGTCAATTCTGATCCATAGATAATTCTATAAAACATGAGGGTATGTCACCCGGATAATATAGGCGAGGTTCTTTCATGAGACCAAACAAATTCTAACTGTAGCCCAACCTCAATCCTAAATTTGCTTGATCTTAATACTATTTATGCTTTTAACCGTAACATTAACCTTTATTCTAACCTTAACGGTAATAATTAGCTCAATAAAAATAAACACGAGACCACCGAAAAACAACCGTTTCCATTTCAGAATAGTACCAAGGAATCAAGACGGCTGGTTTGCAACTACATACTTAGAACGTTACTTCGATGGATAATTTACTTATTCCAGCATGAGTTGCAACTAGACAACTCTACTCCTATTTATTTGTCATCTCTGAGGGAGGTAAAGCTACTGGAGGGTAGCTTTAATCTCTACAATTATGCATCTAGAGTCCCGTTTACGAGATAACTTTGCGACACGTGACATGTCATCAAAAGGTACCCTACAGCAGTCCATGATAGCCCTTATTACAAAAAACCTGTGCACAACTAAGCAAATACCTGTGTGCAGGAGAATTCCGTACGATCATTCTGACGCTGATAATTTGTAAATTATTCATCCAACCAGACAACCGGATAGACTAGGAATGCTTTAGGAAGCACTAGCTTAGGAGAAGATACAGGGTTAGCCAAAAATACAAGTGGTATGATACTCTGGTCCAAAGTTATTTATTTCGCTCCTATTCCTTACGTTCTGTGAACTTTTTAAGCTTTTTAAGGCCTCTTGATTTCCTTGTATGTTTCAACAAGCAGCTTTCCCTTGAGCATCTGGTTCCTAGACTACCACTTAAAACTTTCAAGACAGGAGTACACTTTCTGAGAGTTATGCGAGTTTTTTGTTAAAGTCTCCAGCCCCTGCACTGCGTTTCAACTTCTATACAACACATAGGCCAGCGCAAAGTGATTATACATCAGTATTATGCCTAGTTTTTCACAGAGAAAACATTTTTGAATGGGTGGGATAATTATTATACAGTGAGCAGTCGACCGTTGTGTGTTAGTGCAAGCTTGCTCGTCTCTGAAGCGGATAGATTCATTAACTCAGGTATGATCCATATGTTTATAGCGGGATATTCCAGTCACCCTTGAGCTTAGCGTAAGAATATATGCTGACAATGTGCACAAGGCCTCTTCTGCTAGTTTCAATCTCCCTGTGAAATAAAACTTTGCAAAAACATTCGAAATCATTCACGGTTCTTAAAAGTAAAGAAAAGCTCTATTCACTTTATAGTTTACAATAATATGGTAATACTCATATTGAATGCGCTATGTTTATAGCATGAATAATTAAAGATAATTTAAAGCATTTTTCCCCGGTAAAAATTTAAAGCAAGCGAAAACGGCGGAAATTATTTGGACAAATAAATGTCGGGAGAGCTTGTCAACCGTTTTATCTCTTTGCATGAACAATATAACAATTGAAGAACATAACATTTTGAATTTTCACGGAATCAATAATAACAAGGTCATGTTTAACGGGACGAACGGTTAATAATAACGTCATTTTTAAATCCGGGAAGGAGGAGTAAGAATGGCAATTTATAAAGTTGAAATGTTGATTCATTTTGGGAATGCAGTTACAAGAGCTGTTGGAGCCTAACCACATGGTCTAACTGCTTACATGTGTTGGGTTTCTCCAGCTGCATATCGGCTGCTTACATTTATCGCAAGGTACCATTTGTTCGTGTTCGAACAAGAACTCGGAAAGCTCTGTTGAGTTCAACAGAGGCGCATTCAACATGACCTTGCTATTATTGATGCTTTGAAAGTTGAAAATGCTGTGTTTTTTAATTGCTATCCCATTCCTGCCAAGAGAGGAAGCAGTTGAAAAGCTCTCCCGAACGAATAAATTCTGCTGTTTTTGCCTGCTTAAAATTTGAGATAAAGCAGTAAAAGAGATATATCAGAATATTCTTTATTTTATTTACTAGAAATCTTGCCGAGAGGAAAGGTAAATGAGCCATATTAGACTAGGTCCTCCGCGTAGAAAATTGCTCCTGAGCCTATAAGGCGATTTATAAAACAAGCAAAGCATGTTTAATCAAAAGATATCATACAAGGCTTGATAGTTTTGCTGCAATAATTATTAATTTGCAGACACTCGAATTATGTAATGAAAATTTTTCGGATGGCATATGGATCATTAAGTGCTAGGCCACGCACTTACTATTTAAGATTGAAATGAGTTCTATCTGGCGGCATTTTTAAATTTTCATTTTTTACTTACTCGACATGGCAATCATAAAAAAACACAATTAATTTTTGCAAAGATTATGTTTTAATGGAATGCATCAGAAGGTTCACAAAAAATGTACATCTTTCCCTTCTCAAGTGTTACAAGAATACATTTTCTTACAGTGGTCAGTGGCGCTGTCTGTGATAAAATACTGCCTTGACACAATTTGAGCTTGATTTACAGAATGGAGCACTGATTTCGAACCCAGGCGGCTTGAACTGCCTGCGCCGCTGTCGGTTTCGGTCCAGCCTCCCTACACTGCACAAACTTCATTACCTCTTTGAGGATGCTGAGAACATTAAAGTTGTAGATAGCGGAGCACTCCACCAGGACACAGTTTTTCCAGTGCTTCTTAATTAACACAGCCAGCTCCCGTCGAACCATATTTTTGCCCGAGGGAACTGCCGAACTGAGTGGTAGGGTCGAGGAAAATCCCAGTGACTGGGGTAGGTCCAAGCGACTGACGGAATTACTGCTTCCCTTGCCGACAATGCCACGACAGAAGATACTTCTGTTGAGCCGTCGCATTTGGCTCCCTGAGGTAGTCAGATCAGCAAATTGTCGCACTGCAGGTGCAGCACGTTTGAGCAAGTCGACCTTGTTGGCTACAATGACCATGGGCACGTCAATGTTGGCCAGGAGGATTTGTTCACGCAGGGCCCTTACGTACTGAAAGGAGGGTC